ATGGTTTTGGCCCTCGGAACTTACTGGAGTAATCAGTATGGCCCTAAGGCTGGAAAGTTTGGAGACCCCTGCTTTAATGCATCATACACGTAGCTGGAAATAGGCATTTTCCCACCTGATGCAATCTCTGTGGATCTTAAACTCTGTTGCCTAGTGCCTTTCTAAATTCTGCTTTCAAGGCCTGCTTTAAATTCTAAAAGTTTTGCCATTTCTAGATTTTGTTGTTTAGTGTGTCATTAAATTCTAAAAATTCTGCCACATCAGCTCTGTAACTGGCCTTTACCATATATATTTCAAATTTCTTCTAAATGTTCATATTACTAAAGAAATCAAATTAGCCGCTTTTTCTGTACATTCTAAATGCCTTTAGTGTTTTTTAGAATAACAGAAATCCTTAATTAAATCCAAAAATTCTAAAATGAAAAGGAAACGTGTTGAAAAAAGAAACTGAATACATAAAGAAAATTATTCTCCAAAGATATGTGCAGTTATTATTATTTAAATTACCCAATTGTTTATGAGTTCAGCCATTACTATAATTTCCAATTTCTATTTCCTCATATGATAGAGTTACTGAGCCAGATAAAATTAAATTGTATAATCTTTGACCTCTAGTCCACATTATTAGTTTTAATTTGACTGTTCTTGTTTAACTATGTCACCATTCGCTGTAATTGATTTTTTAGCATCAACATGCCTTTATGTTCTACGTTCTTTTTAAATAAGAGGCTTATTTAAACCTTCGTCTGATATTGTAGTTACTTTCAGACATAGTGGTAATATGCTTAATGTCTGTCAGGAGGTTTTGGACTATTTAACTTTTACCAGATCAAGTAAACCCTCATAGCTACATTGTGGAGAGGTTGACAAGTTAGGAGATAAAGCACGCAAAGACTATCAAGAGCATTGATATGCATATTGAGACAAATCTTTAATTGTTAGAAAAGATGCTGAAAGAGAAGGAAATCGATATAAACTAGCCAAAATGTCTGGGAAGGCTTCAAATTAAAATAACGGATAAATATTTTGTTGAGTATTGTTGTTACAAAACATTTATGTTTTGTAGCTTTTAATGTGTATCCTAATATCGTTTAAGAATCAATTAGATTAATTTATTAGATTTTGATTTTTAATAAGACTTTTTTAACAAATATTGTTAAAAAATAAAATTTAATAGTGGCCATGTAAATCCATAATGATTAAGGTTATCAAACTACCTAATTTAATTATTTATAACTAACTGCTTACCCTTAAAAATTATCTGTACATATTAAAGCAAGTTATTGCCTTTCATTATTAATCACTGTGGTCACAAGATAAAATTCAAATAAAACTTATTCTTTGCATCTACTGAGACTTAAAATAATACAAAACAACTTATCACCTCTGGTGCTTTAATGGCTTACTGGAACCTTAAAGTATATTAACTGGGTTACAACCCCTGGAACTCTACATGAAGCTACGACACTAATTGCATCAAACAGAGCCTGACTAACTTTCAAATCAGCAGTTCGTGCTCTAGACAAGCAGCAGCGGTGATAGCATTCAGTCTTTTGTTATGAATCATGCTGATTATGATCTTACTTCTCATTTTAACCTATGCCGTTTGACATAAAATCTACCTGCTATTTACTAAACCTCTAGACTGACCAAGTATGTGACAAAATGAGACATTAAAAAAAAAAAAAAAAAAAAAAAAAAAAAAAAAAAAATCAACATAAAGCTAACTGTTAGTAAAACGTAAATGTCACTTATCTTCTTTTAATGACCAACTATTATAAGTTTAAAATACTTAATGCTACTTGATAAATTGAATAAAGTTTATTTTATCCTCAAACTTATTAATAATTATGTTAATTAATTCATGTTTAGTAATAATGCATACTACTTAGGAATTACAAAAGTGAAATTCAGGCATAGATAGTATTTTTAATTGAATTTATTCAGTTCCCATTTGCTTATAGGTCCTTAATTTTTTCATTAATGGTCCTTAAAAGTACCTTATTTCCGTGAGCAGAAATGTGTACGAACCCTATAAAAGAAGAAACTTGTAAATAAGAAGTTTGTTGTTTAATTTGGTGTTTGTGTAACTTGGTGTTTAATTTTTTATTGAAAAGCTGAGCTATTTTTTCTGGCCAACTTCTGTGAAACATATATATATATATATATAGAAAACCAGTACTTGAATTCTTATCTTTTCCACTACTAATTCTTGAGCATTTATTAGCAAATATTGAACAGCTGCCAGTTCTTACATTTCTATTCGATAATAATGCCATATGAAAGTATATTTTATAACTTTCAGAATGATAATGTTAATTTTCTAAGTATTGGTGGTATCATACTTGGAATTGCTAAAAACTGAAGTCATAGATTTATTTTCAAGTGTCGGAACTGTTATTAAAAATTCTGATATGTACACCACGACTTCCTTGTATGGAATATTTAATTATACACATTTCTTCCCCAGCCTTTCATTTAAACTTATTTCCTCGAATTTCAGTAAAAATGTATTTATCATTCAGTTAATTCAGTTCTCACTTCGCGACAAGGCAAAAATCCATAAAAACTCGAAATATGTATATTGAAAATTAAAAGCTATAGAAAAACATAAAACACGAAATACAGTTAAAACTTTTTTTTTTTTTTTTTTTCAATTAAAATTACAGTTTATATGGAAAAACAAACAATTTGGCCAGTGAAGAAGGCAGATCCTTCAGTGCTCAAAACAGAAAGTGTACTTTTGGTCTCACTCAGCAAAAAGACACTGAAGGCATAGAAACTGACTGAATTTGTTGTGGACCTATGCTGAATCAATATATGGGATAATTTAATAACTTAAATGCTAATTTCAGAATGGATCAAGAATAATTCAATTCGCAATAATAAAAGATGTTACTTTGTGTTTGCAAAGTTTAGTTTCTCTAGATTGGCAACAAATCCACTATTCTGCTAATTTCAAATGTAAACAAATAGGGCTGCTATGGTAAAAAAAAATAGGCATATCCACACTTAAACAATTTTTAAATTGTTGAAAATTCTACAGCTATAACATGCAGGTTAGCTAAAGGCATAAAAACCATAACTTGAAGATAAGAACACCATATTTCAATCATTTTTAAAGCAAAAAGTGCAGTTTACAAGCATATAAGAATAAAGAAACTGAACTCACTGAGCCAAGTAACAGAGTGGATATATATGTATATTTACAAAACAATTCTTTTGAAAACAAAATTTGAACATGCCTAGTATTTTTGCGCACATACATTTATATACTTTTTGGTGCGGCCAATTGCAACCGAAATAGAAGGTGCACATCTACATGTTATAGCAGGCCTATATACAAAATTTCGATGTTATTCAATGCCATTGTTTATCTCAACAATTTTTAACATCCTCTTTCCTCTAACTGACCACCACTAATTTAGAAACAGTTTGTTCATAGATGAAGGTATAAAAATTTAAGTATTAATTTTCTATAGAAGTTTTAACAAGAATCATATTTAAAATTGTTGAATTAGTTTGCATTTGGAGATAATGAAAAACATTTCTTTTTAGATATACTTTTATGTGTGAAGCATTACTGAAATCAAATTTATCATATCAGGAAACTGATAGTAAAAATTTGGTGTCATTAATTATTAAGATCCAACTAAAGTATTCAACAAAGTGTTTTGTTCAAACAAAGATGCATTCTGATAGGGGTTTCATTAATACTTAATCTGATTTCCTATTATCAAAAAAGAAAATTAAAAACTAAGTATCATTTACCTCTATCATCTGGCACAAAATGCTACAAGAATGCTCATACACAGAATAAAACCGCTAGAAGCAGTTTCTTTGTACTAGTGGTAAGGAGTGTATGGTACAAGAGCAAGTTGACACATTACATGAATTCTTACTCTAAGTTTGAAATACGCGCAACAGTAAGACTTTTATGGGTGATGCATCTTAATTGTACTGAAATTTATTGAGATGGAATAAAAGCATTGCCATGTCCAACCATAGTCAAATGATGCCAGCAGTTTAAACATACTGCACAGATTTTACTGATGCTGATTAGCAAAAAAGGTCATTAGCGTTGACCACAGAAAATGTTATGTGTCAGATTGATTAAATGATTTACAGCAGTCACAGACCATAGGTCTCGGAAATTACACAGTCGTTGGTGTCTGGGTGGACAGTAGTTTGCCAGTACTGAACATTTGTACAAACAGCAGTTCTTTAAAATACTGTCACTGAGGAACACATTAGAAGAAATTTGAACAATTATTTGAATGTTCAGATAGCGATTTACAAAAATTGGGATGATTATTCTGAAAAATAGTTAATTGTATATCCTTGCCATACTGTATAATGTTTGTCACACAATAAAATTTTCTTACCTGCAGTAATCAAATATCTTACTTTTTGAATCTCCTGCATAATATATAATAGGAGAAACCCAGGTAAAATTATCACAAAAGAGGAAACATGATTTTCACATAAAATTGGTTGTTGGAATTTTATTTATTTTTAATTGTAATAAGCTGCTAGTGGTATATTTATTTTTCTAGACATTTTGATAACTTTAGGTTGAATTATAATTTAAAGGTTAAAGTAAATTGAAAAAATCATTTCTTGTTTTCAGATTAGGGTTATGATTTTAGATAGCAAGGGATCAGTGCATTCATAAGTTTCTTTATTAATAGTGTTATAAAATGGTAAGAAACAGTTAAATGAAGTTAATTATTTATCAGTTTATGTCTAAAAACGATTTATGTTAGTTGTAGAAAGAATATCCAGCTTATTTAAATTATTTTCATCCAGTAAACATAATAAAAGCTAAATTTATTTAAATAGTTTTGTCTTTTATATGACTATTTTTGAAGTTCATTAGAGTATATTTCTCAGCTTTAATTGTGTAAATAGATTAGATGTAATTAACGATGGATTATCAGATTTTGTTTTTTAGCTTATATATATTAAGTAGATTCGACTTCCTTTTGTCATATGGCTAGGGTTTGGATTTTTATCGTTCGAGACCGAAGACAGTGTGAAACAAGTTTGTGCTGAACACTTTGTGAAAATCAACGGGAAGAAGGTGGAGTTATATAACTTAATACTTTATAGTATTCTATATTTGTATATATTTACTATTTGCCTTTTTATACTTACAGTGCATTCCTGGAAAAATAATTTATGTCCCAGAAGACATAGTGCTACTTTCATGGTGCAAAATTGATAGTAGTAAATTTAATATTTTAGTTTAATATTTTTAACTGTTTTGATGTAATTAATATTTAAGGCTATCTCATTTAATGTATGTTTATGAGAGATTTTCAATAAATACAGTATGATGAAAATTACATAAATGTACTTTATTTCAAATTTATTTTTAAGTTACTGTAGAATATTTGCCATAATATTAGTTAGGCATAATTAATCCATGTTAATTTTATTTGGAATATTTAGCTTTATTCCATCTTTAAAATGGGTTTTCTTTAAACTTTATTTCTGGGGCTCATTTTGACAAAGTGTTCCGGTTTGAATATCTGATAACGGTATTTCATGATCACACTGCAATTTTATAACTAACAGCATTTAAAGTGGTAGGACAGTAACTTTATTTTAAATATCCAGTTTCATTGTTCAAAATTGAGTTCAATTAATAGTCACAAAAAATGAAATTGCACTATGTTAATTTTTTTTAAGCTTTTCACTTTAACAGCATACACTTTAAAAACTATTTCAGTCATAGTAATAATTTATTTGGTGAATGAATATATGTATAATTTTTCTTGTTTTTGTATTTTAATAATTTTATAATTCATTAAATACATGGAATAGTTGTATACCATGTTTTTAGTTAATACTTTTACTTGTCAGTGTTTTAAATGTTTTGTTATGTTATGCATTAAACGCGCATGCGTAAACGTATATGCGCATAATACTTTTGCGCAATTGCGTTTACATATGCGCCGAAAGTTTGTAGCTTTGAGGTCCGGATAATAGATCATTCCGGATTATGGACGTCCGGATTAAAGACTTTTGACTGTATTTGGCACTGTGTAATAGAAAATAGAGTACGCAAAATGCAAATCAATATGGAAATTACCTTTTATTTTGCATTCAAATGAAGTTCAATGTGGCTGCCGTTGTTGTGGACCGCATATTGCATTCTGTGCACAGTATGCACAACAGCAGAAAGTAACGTGTCTGCAGGAATCTCCCGTACAGTCCGTGATATGTTATCCTTCAACATAGCCAGGTCCTGGACCACTCCTTGATAGACCTTGGACTTAAGGTAACCCCATAGCCAGAAGTCGCATGGGGTAAGATCAGGCGACCGAGGTGGCCATGCAGTTGGAAAGTAGCTGCTAATGACTTTCTGTTGTAAATTTCTGTCGTAGCATCTGTTGCACCCGTACAGCAACATGTGGAGAAGCTCCATCTTGCATGAAAATGATTTCTCCCACGCATTGTCTTTGCTGAAGTGCCGGAATGACAAAGCTGTTCTACATGAGGCGATATTTCTCTCCGGTAACAGAACAGGTTTCCGGTCCTGTTGGGGTAATGTTCTCATAGAAGAATAGACCTACGATAAATTCCGCTGTGAACCCACACCAAACAGTTACCTTTGGTGAATGTAAGGGAATTGCTGTGACTGCATGTGGTGATTTGTCATCCCAAATTCGTCAATCCCAAATCCACCTCCATTCTGGCAAGGAAGGTGAGAGCAAAAGTCAATCGCTTATCATGGTCGGGGTACAGTAACTCCTGTACACGGTTGATCTTGTACGGATAGAGGTTTATAATCTTTCGTAAGATTTTCCATACCATACTGTAAGGCATATCCATTTTTCGAGCTACTCCATGAGTGCTAGAGGTGGCAGCAATATTGTCTGGTCCTCTGTTGACAATCGCCGTGGCAATTGCTTCGATTGTATCCTGTTGTACAGGTTTTCGTCCTCTGCCTGACTGAACCTTCAGAGAACTTGTTTTTTCAAACTTTGCAACCATTGCTTTTAGCCTATTAACTGACACAGGACCGTTACTTTTATGCATTTTTTACGCATCAGTTATTTTCATTATTATTGCATTCTAAAAGCACGAAGAGCGACTGACGCATTGCACTGGTTGAGGTAAAAGAATTTGACCAGTAACGCACGCTCGACTAAAGAAGGAGACATTGCACATAAACTTTCAATCCGATTGATTCGAAACGTAATGCATTGTCTTTTAAAAGCCAAGCAGCTGGCATTGCAAATGGATGTCATGTGAAATTTGAATAAAGAACTTCTCATGATCAGCGTACGTGATATTGCAGATCACGAGACTTTATCGGTGTTTACGTAGATTTTACACTTTTTTAAAAGTGCTACCATATTGCACATGAACTAAATCAGAAAATGTGCATAATAAAAGGTAATTTTATTCCGTATTAATTTGCATTTGTTAACACTCTATTTTCTATTACACAGTGCCAAATATTCCCTTAGCGGTGATTTTTGGAACTAATTTGTTTTTTCGCGGAATCTTTCGCCCCCCATCTTGTTTAATCTTCCTACAAAATGTGGCGTCATTCTCGCAAATAGATCGTGCTACAGAACACTGTGAGCACTGTCAGTTTAATTATGGCCACCCGGTATATATATCTGCTAAAATTTAGTAAAAATGTGTATTTTTAGTCGAAAGGGGCTTTGTCCTGGAGGGACTATTGTTTTTGTTTTGCTTCAAATCACTGTGAGTCCTTTTCACTCTTCAAACTGTTGCCAGCAAATATTATTGCCCTATATTATATTTGAAGAATCTGCATAAATGTATGTATGTTTCTTGCATTGTGATAAAACAACAGTATCTAGAGCCATCAAATTTTGAATGGCGCAATCCTACTGCAAATATGGGTATCTGGAAGCCGAAATTTGGAATTTGTTTTATTTTCGATTTAATATTTTGTAAAACTTTAAAACGAATTTTTTATTAACAAACTCAAGGATTTCAAAACGAGCAATGGCAACGTTATACAGAAACACTTTTATCTCCAGTGCCTGAGACTGTGTATTGGAAATTCTAAAGATATGCTCAATTTAAAATTATTTTGTGATATTGCTCTTGAACTGAATTTTATGATTTAAGTGCGAAGAACATGATATTTTATAAATAAAGGTAACATACAAAATGTTAAAAATGTCCCTTTGGACATGATTTAAAATCTGAAACCTTTCAGATTTTATTTTTTTATTATTATATTATTTTTTTATTCTTATTTTTGTTATTACTTATTAAAATTAAGGCTGCTGTAAGGGTACGAGCCATTTTTAGACAAAGGCTACTCTACTGCAACAAGATTAATATTTAAAAAATACTTTCATTTTTTAAAACAAGTATTTATTTTAACATAATAATTTTATAAATAGATGCGATGGTAAAAGTATAGTGCAGTTAGTGAAATATTGAAATAATGACAGTGATGATATTACGTATTTGACAGATTTAAAATAAAATGATGTGTTTTGCATATTCCCCACCCACCCACCCAAATTGATATGAGGTGGATTTTAAACATACAGTTTTATATTTATTTTAAATTATTTTTCATTATCTGTATTGATTGATGAGTAGCAAATTTTGAAAATTAAGTCAAATTGATTAATACCTGTGCTAGTACTACATATATGATTTTCCATTTTATAATTTTGGGAGGGGCAAGAATGTTAGACATACATATGTATTTATATACAGTTAAAAATTATTTTCTTTTTTCAATTCCGAATTTGACCATTGAATCTTCCAAATGTAATTTTTTAGCAGTGTAATTTGCCATCAGAAGTACTGCTAGTCCATTCTCTGTTTCATTCAAAGAAATAAATACTTATTGAATTTAACTTTGGAAAATTTCTCTCTCTGCTAGTAGCACATAATGGAAATTGTCTGCAATATTTATAGGATTGTAGGCGCATATAATCAAATTTTCATCAATTGTCATTTTTAATATTTTTTGACTGTCTTTATTATTTCTAATTTATAAATTTGTAGATCAGGAGCATGCATAATATTTGACAGTATTATTTCTGAGATTTACGCTGGTTCAGGATTGTTAAAACTCCAGCATTATACTTAAAAAGATTAACCTTTTAATAAATCAGTATGCTAAACAGAGTTAAAATTGCTGTTAAAAGATTTAATTTTTCAAATCTGTTCGTGAAAACCTATAAATTGTATTTTCTAAATGTTAAACAGTTTAAAAACGTATTTTTAAGACAAACTGTTATGTTGTTAGTACTTTCACCTAGGAAAAAGTTTTTCTCTTTTAGTTTTATATAGATTGAAAATGTAAAATACTTCAGTATTTCCGAGGTTCTGCTTTTCCCCTATCTCCATTAGTGTTGACTAAACCATTAATTCTATTAACTTTTAATAATCATCGGTACATTGTAAATACATGTTCTTTGCAGAATAACCATCAGATTGTGATCACCTGCTTAAGAATAGATGGCATTAAATATACATTACCAGGAAGTAATGTATGAAATAAATTTATAATTGCAACTATGCTTAGTTAATGAATCAGCTTCAATTCTTGTTTGAAAGATATTTCCTCTTGTAATGCATCAGATATTTTTAATATGAATTGAAGTCACATTCATTTATAGGTTTTATATATATATATTCAGTATACTGATCATGGTGTGTATCTAAAACCCTTCTTTTAGCATTGAATTGGGTAACCTCTTCTAGATGTTTCCGTTGTGTGGTGATTGAGGTACAAAGTCTACAGTTGCTGTAATATGCCAGAGTTATTTTTTTTATTTAATTGCATCATTTGCTGATTGAATTTGATATGAATTGATTTGAATTTGATAAATTCAAAGCTTGTAATGAAGGTAGGATGTAAAGTGCACATAAACTTGGTTATTACCCTTGCATACTGTTATTTTCGGCTCATGTATTATGATGGTCGTAGCTTTAAATTTTGTCATAGTTACCAAGTTTTAAACTTGGTCATACCATCATAATCAGAGTTTTAACTTGTGCATAATCTAAATTTATGCCAAATTTGTGTGGTTCTTTAACTGTTTTGTAGCATTGATGGGATTTTTGTAGCATTGATGATTATTCTGTAAGTATTTTCTCAAATTAATTCCTTGTAATAGTTAATACAACTAAGCAATTTTCATCTGCCACTTAAGAATTTTTAAACAAGTTGGACATAACTGACTTTTATATGTGGTGATTGCAGTCTGCTATAGTATCTCAAAATTTGAAAAATATTTATTTTCAGTTTTTGTGACAACTATTGTACTGTAAATTAAACTCTGATCTAGAGGTACATTTTTCTCACTTTTGTCAGTGCATAAGGATCAAAAGTGCTACCTTAGTTGAATTCATACTACTTAATCTTTAACATTTTCTCATTTAAAAAATAATCAGAGGTCTAGTAAGTATGAAATTTACTAGATTAACTATCATATATTTAAATTTTCAATTCATGCTGGCTTGTTAGAACTTTCACCCGTATTAGATCTGAATTGCCTGATATTTTAGGGCAGCCCTGAAACTGCTAAATTTACAGTTGTGCTCCTGTATCTATGGTTGCATTTTAAAGACGTGAAAATTTTCTGCATTGCAGAATATATGGCAAAAGTGAATGGGCTTTAAGATTGAGAAATAAGCATGAGTAGTATTTCAGGATTCAAACAAGTGTTTTATTTATAAAATAACATAATTTGTGTTGCGCTGGTCATATCTTGAAACCCTTCATTATATTTTATGGTTTATATTCAATTTGTTTTTATTACTGTATATTACTTATTAAAAGAAGATTAAAAGTCATCAGATTATTTTGCTTTCATATGTATAATATTAAATGTGTAATGCGGTCTGCCTGTGTAATTCATCATTTGCTCATTATTATATATGTATATATCATGTGACTATTGCATTACATATAATATCTGGCAGTCTACTTTATTTCTTTTAATAATAGCTATGAAGCGAACTGACCTTATGTATGGAAGCACTACTGAATTCTGACTTTGTATTAGTGATTTTAAAAATCTACATATTTTTCTAAGCTATTTTCCTAATTTACAGATTGAATGCAAGCATGCAGAACCTCGGGACAAGAAAAGGCCTGCTCAACAAAATGCCCCTCCAAACCAGTGGGGTGGACCCCCAATGGGTCCACCAGGCTGGGGACCTGGTGCACCAGCTCCAGGTGCCACTGGGCCTTGTGGTCCAGGAATGGGTCCTGGTGGTCCACCAGGCCCAATGCCTGGACCTATGGGACCTCCAATGAATAATGGAATGATGGGCCCTCCTGGTGGTGGTTACCAAGGTGGATGGGGAGGCCCTCCACCTCCATACGGACCACAAGGTAAGGATTATTATTTTACTTATTCATTTATTTTAATCTTTAATAAGAAGATTTAACTCCTAAAATGAAATCATATTTTTCAGGTGGTTGGGGACCTCAGCCTGGTATGTACATCTAACATTATCAGTTATATCTTATAAACAAATTAGCAGTTCCATTTTTCTTCATTTGTAAAATAGTCAAAAGTTTGAACAAAAGTTTATTTTCATTACGAAGTGTTAAAGTATGTTTAATAATTGAATGAAATTCTTGTGAAGTGGCAGAAAGTTGTGCCTGTGACGTATCTGTAAAGAATATCAATTTTTGAGAAAATGAGGTTTGCCTATATTTACAATTGTGGTACAGCTTTTATTATGTGTATGTTGTATTAAAAATTCCTGGAGTATGTCAAAACATATCATGGCAGAAATTTTACTAATTTTGACTTGATTTTATGTATATTAAATACATTAAATTACCTGGAGAAAATTTTTCATTTTAAAATACTAATAATGTACAAAATATGTGAGTTGTTCCTGCTTAAAACAATTATTTAGAATTTTGAAGATGCTTTCTGAGAAATATGAACAAAAATTAGATAAAATAGATTTGAGTGTAGCAGCCATTTTAGTCTAGAAAGAGCCTGGGTATGGAAAAAGTGAATAAAAAATTAATATTCTAATAAATCTTTTCTGAAGTAATTTGGAATGGAGTTCGAGCTTTTTATTTATGTTGCGCATGTTTGAAATTCTTGTGATTAAATTCAGATGGTTTTATAATCATATTTTGTATATTTATAATTAATTTTGATTATAAAATCAGGAAACTAGTATAATATGTAATTTAAGGTAATATACGAGTAATGTAATATATGCAACCCTCTTGGCCGTTAATGGCCTCATGGTTAATGCAATTAATATTTCTTTTAAATTGCTATAAATTTTTGTGATATTAATATTTTGTTCCTGATAGTTCAAAAGTTTTAAGTGTTATACATTGCCGCAGACAGTACAGTAGTATGAAAAACACAGCTTCACATTGTTATATTTTTAAAAAATATATTATCAAACTTTATTTTAAAAGATTGTTCTAAAATTTGATTATATGAGGGGGGTCGTTTTAGATAGGGTGGTAGAAGAGTCCTGTATAGTGTAACAAGTATTTATTAACAGGTTTAAGTTACACATGGACATTACGTTTAACTTAAGAAAATTACAGAGCAAGAGTTTGGTATAACGTATCAAGTAGGACACTCGGCTTTTACTGAAGTACTTCTCTGGTTACTCACCAGGGGGCAGCCTTGTTACAGTTAGTCCAACAGTTTATGTTATAGGACTGGTTGCAATTATAGTTTTAAAATTATTATATATATATATATATTTCCCCGCAGTTGACACAATACCAATGGTTGCATTTAAATATCAAAGGACCTTAAGCAACTTGCTCACTAACCACCATGAAATAGATGAAACAGCAGAATGACATTGTAAGACACCAATTTACAGCAATTACGTAGATTCTCATCACCAGCACATAATTACTGGCAACCTGAATATCATACAAAACCATCAACTAAAAGCACTAATGAGTTATGGTACAAAATTTAGACCAGTCAGAAACATGCCTACAAATTACTGTTACAAGACTTTCGAAAACAACATCAACGAATTTATAGTTAAAGCAAGCTATCAACTGAATTTACCCATAGATACCTTCTTAAAATGGGAAGCTAAAATTCTTCAACGCATATCCACCGAAATCAGCTTAAAAGTACACTGAATTGGTCGCACTTACATCAGATATTAAAAAATTAAAACAGCTTTTTACTATTACAAAAATAGATAAAGCAACTAATAACTTTAGCATTATATGAAAACAATTCTACGCAGAAATTATTCATAAAGAACTTCTCAACGCAACTACTTATCAATTAGCCAACCTTACAGAAACATCTATAATAAACAGGATTAAAACTTTTCATAAGAAACTCAATATTACTTTCAATGCAAACTATAACAGATTTACTAATCTTTATGCGATTCCCAAATTCCATAAAACACCATTAAAATTCAGATTTATCGCTAATGGAACTAATAATTACAAGAAAAATGTAGACTATTATTTTTCAATTCAACTTAATAAAATCTGTAAATTTATTTTCAATGATTGTAACACTATCATAACTATTGCTGGATCATTCATAATAACACTCCTGTCATTAATACCATTCAAACCATTAACATCCAAAACATTAACTGCTATAACTTATATAGCTCATGTCCTCTAGAAGAAATCTATACCAGTCTACTTGATCTACCTAAACTCTTCCCTGATATGCTCAATATCATGACTCTTGACAAATGGGAAAACCTACCTAAAATGCACCCTTTTTCATAACTACATCAAGTTTCAAAATCAACTTTTTAAACAAGTCAGAGGATTGCCAATGGGCTTACATTCCAGCACCTCGATCTGTAACATCTTTTTATTTGTCAAAGAATTTAACTTCCAAAAAAATCTACAACCACAAGGGTTAAATTACTACAAACACACTTACAGATATATTGATGACCTTATTACAATTAATAATTTTGGTAAAATTGAAAACTCCGAGATTTATCCGAATTGTCTTACACTTAATAAAACTAATAATTCACAAAATAGCATAGACTTTCTACATCTTCAAATTATTAACTACAAAAAAATTTTACTTTTTGACAAAACAAGAAACTTCAATTTCAATACTAACAAATTAATAAATTGGAACTCCAACAAAGCCAAAAAAGTAATTAACAATACTTTAATTAATCAAATACAACGAATTAAAATTATATGCACAGATACAATAGATTTACAACGCAAAATTTTGCTCCTTATTAAAATTCTCAAAAATAATCTAATACCCATTCAATTTATCAACCATTGCCTTAAAAGAGCAGGCGTTAAATACTCACTCTAAATCATTTAACTGATAGGGATAGGATAATTTGTTCCTAAACCTGAGAAGGTGGTATAAGTTGGATGACTATCAGTTGAAGGATTTGTATATAGTGTAATTACTCAATTGTATATATTGTAAAAAGCTAATTGTCTTCAGATTTATGCTGTTACTAAAAAAATGGGCCTATTTCATGACTTTAGTCTGTCTAATAGCTCTTGGACAATGAAAATTCCTTTTTTCCTTTCTTAAATTCTTAATCATTGCGACACGACAATTAGCCAGAAATTAATTAATTTCCATTCACTAGTATTTTCAAAAAATCTTAACAGACAGCCTCACTCAAATAAGAACTCCACATAATACATCCCTCAAGAATTCCGAGTCCCACCCACTACCATAAATTACTTCACCCAAGTCTTACCGACTGATATTATCCAAAGCCCCCACTGCCGCTAAGAATTTTCGGACACCCTACACTTATGAGTCAGACACGAAGAGAACACTTTGCCAACTCCCCCACTAGAAAGAATGTAAGTTACTTAATACCTTTTCTGGCCTTTATATCTTCATGTACATTCACTGTTCTTCTTATATATTATTTTTATTTGTCTTTAATTTGTTTTTACAAAGTTTGCATTATTTATCTTATTTTGTAATCTATGTTTATTTCAACTTTACTCTGAATTCGATTTCATAATGACATTTCCATGTTTAATTTTACAAAATATAGAAAAATCTAAGAGTGTCGGCGGACCGGTTTTCGGATTTACGAGTGCTTTTACTCATTGATGAAATCTTTAAAAGGAAAGCATGGAATCCTTTTTCGCGAAACGAGGGCCATCCAGGAAGTAGATTACGTTTCCGTCTGTGTCCGCTAGGGGCGGGGCTAGCGCGGCCATCTTGGGGTCAGAGCGTTGCGCAGCTCAGTCTGCATCTAGCCGTGCTAGTGAGAGGTTCGTGCTGTGCTCCGTTCAGATACTGTGACGGTTTGAAATGTCTGCGTTAATTGAAAATCCCGCGAGCTGCGAGGTGCGCTCAGTAATAAGGTTTCTGACTGCAAAAAAAACTGTAAACCGATAGAAATCTATCGGCAGCTTCGTGAAGTGTATGGGGACAACATTATCACTGAAGGTGGAGTGCGTCAGTGGGTCATAAGATTTCAAAATGGCCGAACCAATGTTCACGACGAAGATCGAAGTGGGAGACCCAGCATAGTGACCGCCGAACTTCTCGAAAAAGTCGATGCTAAAGTCCGTGAAAATCGAAATTTCACAATAACGGAACTTTCTTTGAGTTTTCCACAAATTTCGCGAAGTTTGTTGCACGAAATCATCAGCGAAAAGCTTGGTTACCACAAGTTTTGTGCAAGATGGATTCCAAAAATCTTGACAGAGGACCACAAAAATCAGCGAATGGCTGCAGCGTTGAACTTTTTGGACGCTTACCATAAGGATGGTGACTCTTTACTCGATCGCATCGTTACTGGTGACGAAACATGGGTGAAACATGTGAACTGTGAAACGAAATTGCAATCAATGCAGTGGGGGCACACAAGTTCTCCCCAAAAACCCAAGAAATGCATGCAAACAATGTCGGCAAGGAAGATGATGGCGACTGTTTTTTGGGACAGAAAAGGTGTAATTTTGGTGGACTTCCTGGAAAGAGGCACTACAATAAACTCTCAAAGGTATTGCCAAACTCTCCAAAAACTCAGAAGAGCAATTCAAAACAAGCGCAGAGGAATGTTGAGCTCTAAGATCTTGTTGATTCACGACAACGCCCGGCCCCACACGGCAAATGTCACTCGTAAAGTTCTTGAATCTTTTAAGTGGGAGTTGTTTCCTCATCCGCCGTACAGTCCCGACCTGGCACCGAGCGACTTCCACCTATTCCCAGCAATGAAGAAGTGGCTGGCTATGCAGCGTTTTGATGACGACGCACAGCTGCAAGAAGAGGTAACGAAGTGGTTGAAGGCGCAGGCGGCCGAATTTTTCGACGAAGGAATTTCCAAGCTCGTACATCGCTACGATAAATGCCTTAATTTGTATGGTGACTATGTAGAAAAGTAGTATTTGAGTGTGGCTTTCATCTGTATATAATAAAATTTGTTTCCTATACTTTGTTTATTTTTTTATTCCAAAACGTAATCTACTTTCTGGATAGCCTTATTTAGCCTGTAGAATTGTTTTTAATTATATTAAAGACGAAACTTCGTACTTACATTTTTATCAATTTTTCAAAAGTTTTTACTAATTTCAGTGACAATTACATGTTTTAATTTTCCTTTACAATTGAAATTTTATTCTTCATGATGATTTAACTCAATCCCCGATAAAAACATTATTAACATTTTGCTTTCAAATTACTTCAAAACATCTTTCAAAATATAACTTAACAGTATGGATTCACTCTTTTAAAATAATTCTGCTTTAATTAAACTTAGGAGATAATATAATCAATATTGTTTAGGAAATAAATTATATATATATATATTTAAAGTATGTGTGTGAGCCTGTGTGTAATCAATATCTACTTCTTGTAATTGGAAATAAAATCCAATAGTAATGTTGCTTTTCAGGTGGATATGGACCTGGTTATAATAATTGGGGTTGTGGCCCTGGTTATGGAGGACCTTACAGTGGGCCCCCAGGTCCACAATATGGCCAGCCTGGATATGGAGGTTATGGTAAGTGTCTCAAAATTGACATCTTATGTTATGTGCGAGATCTGTGTAGGTAGTTTTAATCACTGATTTAGTGCTGTATTTTTTAGAATGTATGAGAAATGAGCAATTCTGTCAAATGTGTCATGCAGTTAATAATGTGCGTTTTTAAATTGAAATTGCTAAGTACGAGTTTAAGGTGAAAATTGTTCGGCCTGAAAATGACTGTGACTTACGGTTAAAAAATTATTTAATTTTTCTACATAATCTTCCCTGACTTCAACACACGCGATCCAGCGTTTCTCCAACATCAGTATTCCTTCCTGAAAGTGAGAGTCTGGAACGTTATGAAAATATTGATCTATGACCCTCTCGACTTATTTGTTGGATGCCAAGCACTTCCCAGAAACAAATTTCTTCAAGTTTGGGAGCAGATGGAGGTCTAAGGGTGCCAAATCAGGAGAATAGGGAGGATGGCCAAGTAAATCATACCCAAAAATACCAGTTCTCCCATCACCAACGCACCCTTGCGTACCCCATTCCGGATATGAATTCCTGGGGTACTTATAGGATTCCTTGCCAGTGTGGTTTAATTTACATTGGCCAAACTAAGAGAGCCTTAAAATTTCGCGTCAAAGAACATGAGGCATATGTTAGAAAAAAGGAAACACAGAAGTCTTCTGTTGCTCAACATTGTTGGTCCGAAAATCACACTTTCAATTTTTCTGCTGCCAAAATTATTCAAAAAACATCTTCCATTGGAGAACTGGATTTTCTAGAGGCATTTCACATTCATAAAAATCTTTCTGTTCTAGTTAACGATCCTAATTCCAATCCAAATTTGCCTTCGGCTTTTAGAGAAATTATGTTTTAGTTCTGGTTTCGCCAACAGATGGTGCCACTTGCTTATTCTTGTCCAGGCTTTCTTATCTTATCTAAACATTATTTCCTATCTTGTTCATTTGCGGTTTTGCAGCTGAAGATGATGGTTCGGTAAAACCATCGAAACTAGTCCTGTGAAAATTTTGTAAATTAACGCTGATTTTTGTTGTTTGACTTCTGAATTAGTATTTATTCGGCGTGTTATTGTGTCTTAATTAGTCAAAAGTCGTTAATTCGGACACCCATATCCAGAATGATCTACAATCCCGACCTCAAAGCTAAAATCTTTCTGCGCATGCGCACGTTTACACGTGCATGCAAGACCCTTACGACTGCGCTTATGCGTGTGCGCAAGCGCAGAATACGTTTTCACGTGCACGTTTAATGCATAACGGACGGTATAAGCTAAAATTATCTTATTATCTATTTCAGTTAATGTTGATGATTGCGTTGTTCCTTAATCTTCGAATTGGATCCGGCTTATTATTTTTTGCAGACTGTAAGAGCAATTTTATAAAAGTAAGCTTGAACTTTCAAATTATGTCAAATAGAATTTCCGATGCTGGAGCTCCCAAAGGATCTACAAAGCGAAAGCATGTTTCGATGTCCATCAAACAAAAAGTGGAATTGCTACAAAAATGGATAAAGGCATATCCTTTGTTTATCTAACCATTCCGAAATCTGTTTATCAATTTCACACTGCTCTGCGCAGGAGGGGGAAGACGTCGCGGCGTGCAATGAACTGGAAGTTGATCTGTCAGCACTATCGTTATCTTCAGGGCAGATGTTTTTATTTTATTCAGCTTATAATTCTTTACTAAATGTAGTATTTCATCTCGATGTACTTCGTCTTTGATATGATTTAAATCAAATTCCTCGTCATTATAAATATCACGAATACAAATCAAATAGTTTTCTGGTTGCAATTTTCTAATTTCGGCTATGCGTAATGTATGCTTTACACATGCGCGCGTTGAAAGAAATGTTTAATAAAGTAAACAAATAAATATTAAGTTTTTTTTTTTTTTTTTTTTTTTTTTTTTTTTTTTTTTGTAAATTTTGATACCCTTTAGATCGTAATTGCTCATTATTTTATAAATTACGGTTTCATATTTTTAATTTTATAATTTCTGCATGCCATCTTACCAGATTTAAACTGATGATCTATAATCCGAAATCGCCGAAGTCCCGATGAGCCCGGATTAAAGACTTTTGACTGTATTTGTTTTGAAAGGGGCGGGAGAAAAGGTTATAAAAGTAGCTGCTAATAATTTGTAAATATCATAGTAGCTGTTTAAAATAGGTTATGTCATCTTAAAATGTACTGTTACTTACGGAACCAAAAGTAACTTGTAATATTAAATGCATCATTAATGTATGCATTGTACACCTACTCAAAGAAAAATGGACAGTTCTTATATCTCTTGTTTTATTGGGCCGATTAACAAAATTGTGTCATGAAGCTTGTGTGTTTTATGTTATGAAAGCACGACTTAGTATACATATTAGGTTTATACACTGCTTGGCCATTAAAATTGCAATACCATGAAGGAAAGCAAATATAAAAAAGAATTATTGTACATAAACAGTATGGCATGAAGACAAAATGATTAAATTTATAAGCAGTTTGTCGGTTTACAAGAGTGTGAAATTAGTAGAAACAGCTACCACCCCAGGCAGCTAAAACAGGCCTTATATGGTCAGGCATGGAGTTGAACTGGGCTTTGATGACAGAAACGAGCAACTCATTTCATGCTGCTTCAAGTCTGTGCCAAATTTTATTAACTGCATTAGCTTTAGAGGTGTAGATGACAGATATGGAGACTGTGCAGGCCAAGGAAGCAGTTGAATGCGCTGTGTATCGAGTAAAGTCAGAATACAACGTGCGGTCCTGCATTATCTCGTTGGAAGATGGCATCTGTTAGGCCTTGAAGATAGAGCACAACCACTGGACGTAAGATGTCAGAAATGTATCGATTTGCGTTCAAATTATCGTCAATCCGAACTAGAGATGTGCATTTCGTGTACCCAAATGCTGCGCAAACAGTCACACATATGCTGATATCAAATGCAAGCAGACGACATACAATCTCCTTTGTGCCTCCAAGATTGGTATGCGACCATCAGATTACTGCACGCAGAACCAGGACTCGACTGAAAAAACAACATTGTGCCACTCCAGTTCCCAGCTTTGTCGTTGGGTTTGCCAGAATCGCCATCTCTCTCTATACAGCATTGTCAAGAGGAGCTGAAGTATAATGGTCACCACACTGATAGTCCACACTGCTGCAAAAGTCGACGCACTGTGCGGGGCCGATACTGGGCGTGCTACAAACATACTCATTTCCTGACTAATGGTCAGTGATGTGGTTGTATGATTTTGCAGGGCTAAACTCACAATATGTCTGTTCTCTTGGGCAGTAGTCATGGGAGGGCATTGATATCTTGCAATGCCGTTCAGCATGACCCTCAACAGCCTGTTGGTTCCATATTCACATGACAATGGTTGGATGTCGACCAGTGCAACGGGCAGTATCACAGAAGGATAATCCACACTCCTGATACGCAACGATCCTGCTTCTGTCGAATTCTGACATTTGCTCTTAAGCATTTCTTCTTCTTTTTCAAGGTATAACACGATACCTTACAAAATGCTTTCTAAATGAGAAATCCACTAAACTGCTTTTCTTTTATGCAGTACTTTAGATGTCATTTCTCATACCATCATTCCTTTCTAGTGTTGCAATTTTAATGGCCAGCAGTGTGTATAGTATAATTCTAACATATGTATTTTGACACAAAGTCAGACTCTGTCTGAAATGACTTGCTAAATGCCTCAAATTATGCCTAAAAATAGAAAATTTTATAAAAGCCTCGGATTTTTTTTTTTTTTTTTTTTAATTAGCAGTCAAATTTTTAACCCCACAGTGTTAATTAAGGGTTGCCATGTATTTAATAATACCGAAATCCAGACATCCAATATCCAGATTGATCTAAAACTCCAGACCTCAAAGCAGAATTTTTTTTAAATATGTTTTATGCATGCATATTTGATCACACCTCCTCCCCATGATTAAACATATGGAGAGCCCCAATTCTTAATTTCAGTTCAGCACTAAATGAAATAACTTGTTATTGAAGAAACAGCATTTTAGCATAAATTTGTTTGATTAATAATTTTACTCCATAGCTACATATCTGCTTGGCATACGTCTCAAACCAAAACATTCTACGTAGAAAAATTGCTGATTTTACACCTTCTCATGTTTTATATCCCTGATGCCAACCTGGGGAATCATTGTTTATTATATTTTGCTTTCATCACCGCATGCTTATCCAGCACATGGCAACTTGTATAATGACTCATGCAGCAATGCCTAAATTTTTATATTAGTAATTTAAGAACAAAGAGTATGGTAATCTTTTTCTGTTGACATTATGCTTAGCGATGGTTACAGATTTAAGTTAAATGCACTAATAAATGTTGATGAGGAAAAATTTAAAGGCTAAATTTTAGGGCTAAAAAAAGATTTTGTTAATGATGCTGATAGGCCAAAAGATTGCATTTAGTGTCGAAAGAATAACTGATTTTTTATTCACATAAAATCGGCGTCGGAGCTCGTATAGCCGCACTGGGCGGCAGACTTTAGAGAACACAAAATTTTTGGAATTTAGAGAAGCACTGAGAAACAAAATTAAGGGATGAAAAAATTTTTAGAATTTAGAGAAAGCAATGGGACCCAAAATTTAGGGGCTGCAAAAATTTAAAACTTAGGGAAGTGTTTGTTAGCAGAATTTAGAACCCACAGAGACTGCATCAGGTGGTAAGATATTTAGCCCCGGCCCTCTAATACGTCTTAAGTATATATGGGAATTTATTTATTCAGAACACAGATAAGCTTTTAACATGCGCAAGAAATAGATGTAAGTATAATAAGTAACTAAACTAATATAATTCAGGCTTTATTGTCTCTGCATGATAGAAGAAAGAAAAAGTTTAGTGACACTATTAACCCTTTGACAGGTCCCACCTTTTTTATCAGGTTCTATCTCCCAGATAAAAGCTGCAAAATTCCATTTAAAATGCATACAATTATGCCTTTTAGTTCTCCAAATGTATAACCGATGGCAGCACTATAGTA